ACAAAAAAAAAAAAAAAAAAAAAAAAAAAACAAAAAAAAAACAAAAAAAAAAAAAAAAATTAAAAAAAAAAAAAAAAAAAAAAAAAAAAAAAAAAAAAAAAAAAAAAAAAAAAAAAAAAAAAAAAAAAAAAATTCCACATGCTTACACCGCGACTGTTTGGCGAGCCCAGCGGTTCCCATTATATTCGTCGCGTCGCACTGGGTGGGCCACATTAACTTCGGCAGAGCAATGAAAATAGGGCAAAGAGGGCTGTCGCAATGGGTGTCGTTATCAAGGGCGACAAAATCGCCTTTAGATAGTGCCATAATAATTAATTAAAATTAATATAATAAAATCCCATATACTTCAGAAGGACAAGGGGCGCCAAAAAATCCTCTTTTTACTAGTTCTCGGGCGAGTGATGGGGGGCAGGTTGTTTTTTTCTATAAATTAAGTACAACCATTGTCCGGCTTAACCCCAGGTGCCGTTTTTCCTCGACATGGCCCTGCCCTGCTTCAACATCCTCACAGGGCACCGTGAAATATTACACAATTTTATTTCCACTTTTAGTCTAGCGGTCGTGGTGCAAACACTTGGATAACTACAATTTACCATTACAAATGACGCTTAGTGAACTGCATATGTCTTTTATTTGTTTTACACTTTTTTAAAATTGTGTTTATTTTATCGCTATTTCAAATTATACTTGTTAGAATTTAACACTTGGCGCCTGGTGAAATCCGTGTTCCCCGGTGCCCGGTGGGATCCCGTTCACGGTGACCAACCGTTCCCTGGTAAGATCAATTTCATGGTGGGAGCCCAATCCCGGCTAAGATCCATTTCCTGCTTGGTGCTCGTTCCCTGGTAAGATCCTGTTCTCCGGGGAATCAATCCAGGACCATGGGTTACACTTAAATTTTAAGCTATCCCTAAAATAGGGGCCAAGACCCATCTTCTCACGCAAGAGGCTTATAATGTAATCTAAGCACTCACCTTCATTTATTTATATAGCGTGGCGCATTAATAGGAAAACATTTTCTGAAACTTTCTAGAAACTTTAAAAAAATTATCTTTAAATATTATTTCATAACATTCGAAGAAACTCATTGAAACTTGTGAAAACAAAACAGTCTTATGTTATTTGATTGAATAATGTAATAAATAGTAACATGTTGATCATCCAAAAACGACACCGTGCGTCTAAGGGGATGGTGTGGGGGGTGGGGGGTGCATGCATTCACTGACCATTAAGGTGAGGGGCTAGGCAGAAATAGCGTGACGTCATTTAATGAATTCCTTAGCACTAAGGGAGTTAAATACGGGAAGTAAACAGAATTTTTTTTTTTTTTTGTTGAATTTGAATTGAAACTTTTCAGAATTCAATACATAGGGTAGGAAAATCACAATGAAAATAGAAGAGGTTTTTCGGGGGGGGGGGGGGTGAATGTGGGTGGGGGGGGGGGGGAGAGTAATTGGGACTATTACTTTAGTAAAAGAGAACATGTTCATTCTCTCAAACACTGTTATATCACTAATTAAACTGTTCGTTCTCTCAAGCACTGTTATATCACTAACTAAACTTTTCATTCTCTCAAACACTATTATATCACTAATTAAACTGTTCATTCTCTCAAGCACTGTTATGTCACTAATTAACCTGTTGTTCTCTCAAACACTGTTATATTTATATCACTAATTAAACTGTTCATTTTCTCAAACATTGTTATATCACTTATTAAACTGTATATTCTCTCAAACACTGTTATATCACTAATTAAACTGTTTGTTCTCTCAAACACTGTTGTGAGGAAAATTTATTCAGCAAGTAGTTTATAAACCCTGATACTGATAGTCTCCTATTTCAAAGTAAGGGGTGGAGAATTGTGTGAAGTTTAAATTGTATCAAAACCAGTTAAGTTAAGCACAGAAAAAAAATAAAAAATCTAAAAAGCTTTATCAAAACAAATGTAAAACAGTGGGTTAGAGACTAAACTATGGTAAAATTTAAGAATAAGAAAAGGAGGAGTCGAAATAAAATGTAACTAACACAACATACCCTGAAAACAAATGTATTTCAGTTCTTTATTTACACAATAAACAGTGTGTTGGCAAGAAGACTTCTTCGGCAGACAAAGACTAACACAAATATAAAATTAAAACGTAGCTGAAATGTTGTATCTGAGATGTATGTGGTTTTTCTCTCTTTTTTTATATAACACTTTTTTTCCACACGGTGTATCAAACATTTTCTTTTTCAAGTAAAATAAAAGTTAAAAAAAGCACAATTACACTTCAGCAATGGAATAATTCAGTTAGAGAATCGTTTCCCTTTGATTTCAACTCCAAAGACTAACGGTGACACATTCAGCCATGCTCTGATAAAGTCTAAGCAAATTTTGATTGCAGATAAAACTTAATGTAATCAATGATGTGCTATTGTAGTACTGGCTCACCATGTGTTAGACTGCATTCATTCAATGTTAAATCTCAACTTTTTTTTTTTCATTGTTTTTAGTGTCAGTATTAATAATGTAAAAGTTATATTTATATACAATGAGACATGAATAAAAATATAATGCTAAAAATGCCTTAAATTACCAGAAAAAGAATTTGTTTTCTAACAGTCAATTTCATTCATTAATACAGGATAATTTAAGCACTTCTTTGGTCACTATTGGAATGAAACAAATTTGGAATAATATACAAACAGTGTGTGTCTGGTAGGGGTTTCTCTGCAAAGGAAAATTATGTTATGATGTTGTTAAGATGGAATGTTAACAGTCCTGACATCAGGTGTTGATTCGATTGCTATGTAATGTAGCATAAAAAGTTAAATCCAATGCACATTATTAATACAGTATTTTGATATTGATTTTACGAATATATCTAAAATCAAGAAAGACACACGTAAAAATGTTCAATTACATTTCAGTTTAATATAAACAGACACAACAAAGAGTATTGCAGGACAATATCGGAAGTCATTTCTCATTTCGGATGAACAAATTTATATTTTTATATACATAAAAAGACCACAATGTCTGAAAGAGCTCTCAATTATTTAGTACCTCGGACCAAAAAAATGAAAATCTAGTCACAACCGTCAAAAAAATCTCCCTGTCTCCCCTCTTAAAGCCCTAGCCAAAAAACCAAACATGCCCTTTGTGACTTATTAAGACAAGTCCAAGTCAGGTAATGCCCAAAGCCCTTGCAGTTTAGTTTTTGAACAAATGTAACATAAAAAATGCTCATGTGTTTTTATACTTATAGATTATACACTAATGGTAACAATTGTTAAAAGGCACTAGCCTCAGACAGATCTGAAATGGATGACATTAATTTAGATAAAACCAACCATTCTTTCTCATCTGCTTCTACCCCATGTGCATAAACAATTGCAATAGCAATAACTGTCGAATGTCTGCCACAGGAAATTGCATATTAAATCTTATAACAGGTAATACAGTCGTCCCTTACCGTTAATCGGTTAGACTCTACCGAGCTGTAAATTTCGGCGAAGTAAAATTCTTTATTTATAAATCAAGGGTTTTTGTAGCTAGAGCATAGAAAACCTGTTCACGACCCCCTAAATACGGTCTTAAGCACAAGCTGTATCATTGTCACTATCGAGCTGTATCATTGTCACTATCTCAATCAACTTATTTTTATAAATATATGCCATATTTGAGGGGGGGGAATATGACATCGTGAAGCAGCGAAAGTTGCAGCCCGAAGTGGCGAGGGATGACCGTACTATAGTTATTAGCTGCCGTGAATTTAAAAGGCATAACTTTATGAATCTCATGAATGGCAAGTGTTATGACACCTGACACGGCTTGACAAAGACATGCAGAAATACTTTCAGCCATCATAAATATTTCGGGGATCGTGCTTCTTACAAAATTTAAAGTATCACCTGCATAATAATAAATGCATTTAAAAAAAAAAAAAAGTAAATACATTATGCTATCCCGTAAGAAATGAGCTGGTTTTTTAATTGAGCAAAAAATAAAAGTGTTAGTCTAACAGTGAGATTACAGTCCAATACAAAAAAAATTAAATTAAAACACCAAGGTTTTTTTTTTGGGGTCCTTCCTGTAGACAATTTGTGCCATTTTAAGACAAAATTTTACTTTTCCAATTCAAAATGTGCATGTTGGACTGCATTTTTAAAAAAAAGAGTTACTAGTTAAAATAAATACAGCAAATATTTATCACATTGATACAAAAAATAAATGTAACAAGAGGCTGCATGACAGATATCATTTTTTAAAAAGTATTAATAAACAGATAAACAATTACGAAACAAGTCAATGTTTTGCTATTTCATGTAGGAAAAAAACTCCAAAAAGCCTTGATGACCAGAGGAAATACAAGAATACAAGAAGGTAAGTTGAGAGACACAGATCATTAAGTCTCAAGTAAAGCTGTAAGGACGACCAAAGGAATTACTTTGAGTTCTGCCCCTGAACCCCTTTCAGCAGTCAAAACATTTCATATATTCATATCATAATATGATAATATTTAAATTATGCCTTGAAAATCATAATAAAGAATATACAATTAGCAAACAAATTTTTTTTTTAAACTTAATTTTTCTGAAAGATAAATTTAAATGCACTAAATATAAAAGTAGAAAATAATTTTTAAAATTTGTTAATGAATTATGGAAAAGAAAGTCTTTGTGGAAGGATTAGTGAGCAGAAATAAAGTCTTTAAATATACAGCAGAAAAATAAAAACAAAATAAGAGTAAAATGACAGAGCAAACAAAAATAGCATAGGCTGTATGGGTGAATCCACGTGACAGTTCATGTTTACATTAGTACAACCCATGACTGAAGAAAAATTGGATAAAAAAATTAAATGCTAACTGGTCATAACATAACATCATTCCCATATATTTCAAACATACTGGTATCAAAGGAAATTTCTTTTACATCTGGAAAAAAAACTACACATTTCCTCCAGATTATTATTTAAAACACTCAAGGCAAATAGCATTCTTATCTTGTTCACAAAGAACTTTAGAGACTAAACACAAATTTTGGGGCTTATTTAGTTTATGTAATCTAATTTATACTAAAACAATAACATTTCATTAAATTAAACAATACCCATAGAACTCTAAATTTCATGATGGTGTCATTTAAATTTTAGTTGTTATTATACATGTATTGAGACCGGATCATATTGTTGCTTTTTTTTGCGGAAATAAAAAAATAAAAAAATTAATGCCAATAAAAGAAAAGCACAACCTGCAATGCATAATGCCAAAATTAAAGTGTTCTTTCCTTCAGTGTCATCATATGATAATGCATTAGACACGCATGATGTTTCAGTGTGATTGGTCTTGTTCATGTGTGTACCACTTGGACAAGGCTGGCATAAGACACCAAGGATTGTCTCGTCTACACTTCCTGCCCGGGTGCAGTTCATTTTCACAAATTCATTAAATGAACAGCCACTTGCCATACAAGAGTCGTCTTTTTTTAATGTTGAGCTTGTTAGAGTGATGCTAGTAGAGTCAAGTTTTACAGGCAATGAATCCATTGGATCTAAAGTCTCCATTGGATCAACAGTCGTGTCAATTTCAGTCACAGAACTATAACAGTCAGGAGCGTCCAAATCACAAGGCTTGCAACCATAATCATTTAAAAAGTCCTCTAAGTAAAAACCATCTGCACATCGCAGGATTTTGGTCCTAGATTTGTTATTGCATGGCACTACCTCCACAACCTGATCACCCCGCACAGTATAATTTCTGCATGTCTTGCAGGATTCCATTGTATGGTTGTAGTCATCCATATAAGAGTTGATGGGGCATTCTTGACAGAAAGGATTGGCCCCTTGCGTTTTATTCAGGAATTGCCCAGCTCCACAGTTCAATGGCATACCACTGCATTTGTCGGTACTGTGTGCTACCAGCAGCATAAAGAGGACCAGGACATGAGTTGGGGCCATCACAACAAACTGAAATTATGACAGATAGGATATTTTTTAACAGGTTATAATTGAAAATGGTTTTGATTGTAAATCCCTAGTTATGATCAAGTGGAAAAAAAAACACTTCTTTAAAATTTGATCTTTAGCTGCATCATTTTTGTTTTTTAAATACATTGCTTCGCCGTAGATAAGCTTCACATTTTAATTTCGGGTTCAGTTCGCTAATAGGTAGTGGAATAATTTTTAAATTTGTGAGGAAGTTTATTACTACCAGTATTAACAGTTTTGCACTTTATTTAATTTTCAAAGCCTTTACAGATCCTCATTCACAATGTGTTCATTTATGAAATAAAACATTAATCCAGTTCTCGGAAGGTCTTGTGGGCTGCATGAAATGTTTCAGGGGAGGTGGATGTGGTCCGCATGTTTCCAACTGGATAACTAAACACCATTTACCATATACTATAGCATATAATATGTGAAATTTGGGGTCAAAATGGTACTTAAAAAATCAAAGGTAATGCATTTAAATTTAATAAAGAAAGTGATTCGGTAGGGAGAGATGAGCCCTTGGAATATTGGAGTTTCTGGGGGCTTTACTCTTCTTGTATTAATATGTATGATACTGTATGCACAATAAATATGAAACATTCAATTTCCATCCTTTTGATTAAAACAACACTCCATGGTCTTCAGACTATAGCTGAATCTATCATATTGAAATATCTAATTAGTGTCTTTAATTATGGTGCACAGTATGCAAAGACCCAATAAGATAGACTAAACAAGGGAAAGGGCTACGGCAGGTCACTGGCGGGTCTTGCAGCAATATCTGAGGTATACAAAAAGTATCCATGTTCATCTCAAATTTTGCTTAGGCCTATGTGAGGAAGGAAACATTGGGCTCTAGCAACTGCTTATTATTTCCTTACATATCAGTAATCTTTAATAAATTCTTGTGTTGGATCCTGGAATACTGAATGTATCAAACTTAATCATGAGAAGCCATGTGATGTTGATTACATCTTCTTATCAAGTTATGAAAGTCTAGATGAAAAATAGACATGGCATCTGGTGTCAACTGTTTTAAAATAAAAACTTTTAGGCCCTAATGATCAACCTCAACAATCACATAACAATCCACATAAGTCAAAAAACAAAAATAAAGTCCCAGACAATGTATGGTTGCGCCGATTAGCTAACTGGCAGATTATGATTAACTGGCCATGGGTAATAGGCCAATGCCAATAAAATCGGCGTGCCATTAATTAATCTGTATTTATCCTCGAAATATCTATATATCGACACCTAATGACAAATTCTGGGTAATTCATTACACTATTTTTATAATAAATATAATGAACTATAATTTTATAATAATGCAGTGACACATAATGTATCACAATTATAGATATTCTCTTTGGGTTACACAAGCTTTTTTCCTATGTGGGGCATATGGCCCACCAGAGAATATTTGAAGATTATTTATTGAGGGGTTGGGGAAGGGAGAGAAAACTATGTGCTTTGAGTGATAGGAATATATTAAAGCTTTAAGGGGGAAGCAGAGTTGGAGAGAACATCTTTCATCAACAAAGGTTGAGATACACTGAATTGAAGCCTGCTGGCAAGCCATAATTACTATAACTGGTTGAAGAAATTGAAGCCAGTTCTACTCAGTAGCAAATGTCTGACCCATTCACTATACAGGTGTAATAAGCTATAATGACCAGTGCCACCATGACCAGTAGACTCTGCTTGGCAAAATTATTTTGAATCGCTGTGGACCGTGGACCGTTGCGCTTACTTCAAAGGTTGGCATCAAAGATTTGAATGGCATAACCAGGAAACTCCCACCATGCATATGTTACAATGAGACGTAATATATTTTTTTTTACATTTATTTAAGGGTCAAAGTTGTATGAAGAAGCCCATTTCATGTTAAAAGAAAATTATTATCTTACTTTGTTTGAAAAAGACGCCATCTGAAAAAGACACCAAACTAAATAAGTAGTGGTACCAGGACAAGTTGCTTGTCTTGCCTCCTATTTTCCAGTTAATGCATAATGGCTGTGTTGCTTGGGGTTGAAATGGCTAGAAAGACTTTGCAATTGTATGCTAGTAATTAGTTTTTGGAGTGTTGCGTTTGTTTTAAATGTGGTAAATTATAGATTTGTATTTCGTTGACTTTGTACCGCGCTTCGAGCCTTTGGGGATGAAGCGTGTTTTTGAAATGAACTTTATTATTATTATTATTATTACCAAGTAATATCTGCACCTGAAAAAAGACTGAAAAATAAATATGTTTTGCTGGAATTACGTTTTATGATCCCTTTGATTTAGGTACATAGGGGTTACCCTCCTCATTTCCGTCCCCCCCCCTCCCCCCCGCTTGTACACAGGAGTATTTTATATCTTGGTAACTTATTTCAAACATGGAAAACTTGCCATTAGACCAGGGTCGGATTTAACCAACTTTAAATTTTGAAAACAGCAGGTCTACTAAGTCATAACGGCATGAGCTATTGATTGTTTCTCTTTTTATATTAATTATAATTGTACGCAAGGTTGTTTTTTTTAAGGAAGGAAAGAAATAATTAGGCCATTTGTTTATTTCAATTCGGAAATATTACTTCCCTGGTGTTTTTCCTTCAAGTTTAACAAGCAAAAGAAAAGTAAAAATTCATTGGCTTATATACGGAACTTTAAAAAAAAAAATTTTAAAAGTAATGAGCCAGATCCTGAATTGTTCTTATATTGTTATGTTTAAAAAAAAAACTATTGGACTCTCTGATTCGCACACAGAGGTTGCTACTATGAGAGAAGTTAACACCACGATAACCACATAGTTTGTTTTTCATTCTATTAATATTTGCGTATTTAACTTGTTCACACTGATCATCAGTGTTCGTACTTCAGTTATCAAATTTTTTTTTATAAATAATGAAACGCTCTCTGTCTTTGTTTCATTGTTGTATGGGATACTAAAAGAAATTAATGAATATGTGTAAGCATTCAGAGAATGTTGCATTTATTTAGTAGTGTTTTTTATGTAGTGATTTATTCACTTGATATTTTAATTCTTAAAAGATTAAATATAACAGCTCATAAAAAGAATGAAGAGATTTGAGTCTGGTTGGCCCAAAATAAACAGAATTTCAGACCATGAACAATCAAATGAGCACACACCTGCACTGACAATTTATGCAACACATTTTTAAAAATGCAGACCCTTGATCAACAGTTTGAAAATGAAAGAATTTATTGGAGAGACGTTTTTTTAAAAAGAGTTGTATCAACAGTAAAATTTCTTGCCTTGTGTTGATTCGCAAGTAAAGGATCAAAAGAAGTATTTTGGTTAGTCATGATAGTGGTAAATGCAACATGTGCAATCATGGCAACCAAGATGATGGTGGTGGGAAATAAGTGGTGCGCCAAAGTAACATTTAGGCCTAAATTTAGAACAGCTGATGCTGAAGTGGAAGATTGCCATTTTTTTTTACTCAAGATCGCTCATAAATTAGTATTTTAAAATTAAAAAAGAAAAATATGTTTAGGGTAAGCTCCCTATTTAGCCTAATTAATTGTCAAATTAGCAACAATTTGAGTAATTAACGGCTGTCATGGTGGCTCACTCCCAAAGAGTGCAGTGTCAAGAGAAAGATAGCCCGCCGTGTGGCAGTGAGTGTGACTCACTCTAGTAAGAGTAAGACTATAATGACTAAGTCTAAGTCTAGTCTAAGGATTTAGGGTTCAGGTTAGGCATAGGCATCGATTTAGGGATACATTCGTGAAATTCGATAAAATAGTGGCAGTCGTCCTTAAAATTTACCAAAAAATTTAGTTACACCAAATACAATTACGACACAGCAGCAAGCACAGTGCACAACTTCGGAATCAAACTAAAAATAAAAACACGAAACAAGGGGCCGCAACTAACCCCTTTTTTTTCTCTTCAAATTCCCAAGAATTCGTCAACAATTCCCCAAGATTTCCCAAGGTTATAATTAATTAATCCATAATGGCTTGACTTAATGCATCAGAGACACACATTAAAGTAATTGACTGAAAGTTATTTAATCAGGTAATTTTTTAAAAGGTTTATCATATTCACATCAGAGAAATCATTCCATTATCTTTTGAAAAAATATATTTGTAGGCCTGGGTAACGCAAAATATCAAAACACACTGGAATTAGGCTACGTAACCTTACAGCTACATGACACATGTTCTGGTAAAAATATCCCCCACACATGAAATATAAGTGCAATTTTTTATTAGTTGCAATGCCATCTTAAATAACATATTAAAGTAGTTTGGTTTTTTTTTTCATTTACAATTTTTCTGCTTTTTTATCATTAGGGAATTACCATTTACAAACTTCAAGAAAGTGGTCAGACTGAATGAAAGTTAAATTAGTTATGTAACGTTTGTTATTTTCTGAAAAATATCCAAATCCAGCAATTTCAATCTTTGATATATGTTTATAGTCGGTGTGTGTTTTTTTTTAATTTTAATAAATTGTCTTTTGCTACGTATTGACTATGAACTTAATTTTTTTTATTATTATTATTTTTTTTTTACATTAATGAGGACCTATTTCATTTTAAATTTACAATATTTGAAAAAGATAGAATCTTCATTGTCTTTGACCTACTGTACAATCTTTAAATTCAGGGTCTATTAGTCATTCCAAGTTAAAACCTTGTTAAATCATTTTTACCTTTTTATCTTCTCGCTTGACAGTTATGGTGAATATGCACCCACGGCCCATTCATTCATCGGATCGCAGTGTTTACGTTTGATCAAGTGTACGAGAGATTTTATGGCCTACATTTGTTTTCCCAAATTCAAAAAAGTAATGATGTCTGTGTCTGACATTTATAGACTTATGAAATGTTTATTTAACTGTTGTACGCGATCAGTTTGGTCAACATTTATAAAAACAACATTTACTAAATTTGTAAATCTTCAACGTAAAGATTAAAAGTGTATTTACTCATTTATAACTTTTTAATACGATATTTACTTTAATTTAAGATGATTATTTATTTTCAATGATGAAAGAAAGTACAACCATTCACTTTAAGCAGATTTCTAAACTGGCAAATAGTGAAAGAGTGTTTTTTTTCTTACATCTTATAGCTTTCTTTATAGCTATATGCATCTTCCCAAGTTTATATAATTCTTGGGAAATGTCCCAAGGTCTGCTGGCATGGGAACGAAGTGGCTGCGTACACTGCTACTGGAGCCGTGATCCAAAGTAGATATACGTCAGAGATGACGCGGGGGGGGGGGATGTTATTTATGTTTTTTTTAGGAGGTCTATCCAGAGCGTAGTTAGTATTAGTGACGCCCAGGTCAGGCCAAGAATTTTGTAAAAAAACTCGCAATGGACTGAAAATTCCACCCCTAATTCTTGGGAAATGTCCCAAGGGCTGCGGGCATGGGAAGGAAGTGGCTGCGTACACTGCTACTGGAGCCGTGATCCAAAGTAGATATACGTCAGAGATGACGCGGGGGGGGGGGGATGTTATTTATGTTTTTTTTAGGAGGTCTATCCAGAGCGTAGTTAGTATTAGTGACGCCCAGGTCAGGCCAAGAATTTTGTAAAAAAACTCGCAATGGACTGAAAATTCCACCCCTCCATCTAGTGGCGTTTCACGACATTGTACCTTCATGAGCGGGCTGTGAATTATCCGCTTCCCCCATCCCCAGAGAACACAAAACAAAGTGCTTTTTGGCACAGTGAAACCTGGAAATAACGAGTCTTGAAATACCACTGTCCCTGTCGTATGAACTAAATCGCCCCGGGGATGTAAAGGGGGGGGGGAGGGAAAGAAAATTAAGGACCCATAATGCTCCCAAGAAAAAGTGTGGGTCTTATTTAGCTAGACCTCTGATCTATACAGAGATATGCTATGAATTTTTCTAATTGAAAATGTTTACTAAATATTAATGTTGTTTAGTTATATTTATTTGCACCGATTTAAAACTATTTAACTAAATAATTAACTATAAACTTCTTCATTTGGTAAATAATTTGTTTAAAGGTGATGAGGGGCTTACTGTCACACAAAAAAAGCACATAATATAGGCTATCATTTAGGCCCACTGGTGCCCGGGTGCGTCTAGTGAGTTGTGGCACTGGGTTATATTAGGATCCTTGTATAGAAAAAGAGATGGTTTGTAAATTCTGCCTTTCATTTTAAGAAAAATAATAACAATTGCAATTACCGAAGGGGTATTCAATTACACTTTTTATTTCGTCTTCTTTATCATTGTCATCGTTCCACAATTTTTCAACCCTTTGAGCCAACGGGCATCAAGTTGCCCCAGCCCGGACATACTACGATCTCTATCTATGGCCAATGCACAGACAGCTGTGTGTACATATTTTGACTGTACCCAGTTTCTCTAAACGCCTTTATCCGACTAAATTACAAAACAAGGAAAGATTAGAGCGCAAACACCTGATAATGTACAGTCATAATTAGCCCCCCCCCCGTCAACTTCCTTTTTGGGGGGGGGGGCGCACACAAAGCCCCCCCCCCCCCCCGGTGGCACAATGTCTCGCTATGCATCTGGGTACAGTTTATAACCCCAGGCGCAGAAAACGGTCCTGCTTTTACTAGCCTGAGTGCCCCATGATGTCAATGATGAGGCCCGTCTCTCGTGTATTGACCGGGGCAATTCATAAAGAGAAACAAATAAGAATGAGAGGATATCATAGTATTTACTTTGTAATTTCTAACACTCGTGTATGATACTTCTTAAACGGGGAAAAACGAGAAAGAGAGAGAGAGAGAGAATGGGGGAGAGAGAGAGAGAGAACGAGAGAGAGAGAGAGAGGGGGGGAGAGAGAGAACCTGGTAATATTGGAAATATCCGATTCTCAACAACAACAAATATTTTTCATAGTAACAAGGCAAACTAAGGCTAACTTATTTCTGTGCATTTCATTCTTAACTATTACTCATGTAAGTAGGCCCTGACTATAGACCTACTTTTACCATTTGGAAACTATTGTATCTTATTTGACAACTCCAGCTGTGGTGTTCTAAATATGCCGGATGTATAAGGCTTCCTGTGTGGAGTTATGGCTTACCATGTTCCATTCGACAAGTCCTTACGACAGCAAACAGTCTTAGACATATTTTTTAAAAAAAAACATTATTTTATTGGAACGCTCATATGAGGAATGGCGGCCTTATAACGAATTTCAAAAATAAATAGTATAATGTTTTTATCTGTAAAAATGCTCTTGATTAAATTTGTATCCTATTTGTAGCCTCTAACGCAGGGGGTGGGCAAACTTTAGAAGCCACGGGCCAGATTCAAGAGGTAACACAGACACGGAGGCCATAAATGGTGAAAGCAGGGGAAGGGGCTGGTTGTACCCGATTCATCGGGAATTTATTATTTGACCAGAAAAAGCAAAACAGCCCCATATAATAGGGAGAACACCATAAAGTAGTGACAACCCCATATAGTAGTGACAACCCCATAGAGTAGTGACAACCCCATATAGTAGTGACAACCCCATGTATAGTAGTGGCATTTGTGGCATTTGCAATTGAAAATTTCAATTACACGTTCATTTGTTTCATGATGATATGCATTATTATTTTTTACTAAAGGTGGCGCGAGCCATTCATTAAAACAGGGGCGCGAGTCATAATTGGCTCACGAGCCCTACTTTGCCCACCCCTTGCTCTAACGGCCCTACTTTGCCCACCCCCTTGCTCTAACGGCCCTACTTTACCAACCCCCTTGCTCTAACGGCCCTACTTTGCCCACCCCCTTGCTCTAACGTTTGAAATGTGTATGCTTGATTTTTGGGGGAATCATATTATTGAACATGTTTTTACTGATTGATGATATATTACCCTTACGTTACGGTCTATATCAATGTATCCTTTCATGCAGTTTGAGGACGAAGTGTATGTTTTATGTAGTACACGAAAAGAACCGTTCATAAGTACAACAATGGGCCCCCCTCCCCCCCCCCCCCCACATGTTACCAGCGCGATAGTTTTTCTCTAGCTTTTAACCTGTATAACATATTTCATAAGTACAACAATGGGCCCCCCTCACCCCCCCCCCCCACATGTTACCAGCGCGATAGTTTTTCTCTAGCTTTTAACCTGTATAACATATGCGGTCGAAATGTTAGAATTTTTATCAACCAGCTGGCATTTAAATTTGGGTCACCCTCCAAGTTATCCCTAAACCAGGAATTGTTGTTGGACAATTCAAACCCACTGTACCAAATTAATGTTCATTAAATACTTTTATTCCTTCTTATTATTCTTTTTTTTTTTTTTTTTTTTTTTTTTTTTTTTTTTTATTCCTATTTTTAATGCGAATGACGGAACATGTTCAAAACTTTTATCTGTTCATCATTCACTTTTTGTTAAAATAAAAAGTTTAGTTTCACTTTGAGTTACGAGCAACGTTGAAGTTTGATGCTTTTTAAATAGAAACTGAAATCTCATTGAATGAAGGAAGTATAAACACTAAGTGGAAAAGAGAGAAAATCCGGGCCGGGGGGGGGGGGGGCAGGGTTTAAGGTTTCGTTTACTACCTTAATTATTTAGATCTAATTTAAAAGCTGTTAAGTCGTTTATTTTAAAAATTCTCCATGGACATAGACTCATTTGATTTTTTTTTTTGTATTTAGGCCTACTCTAGGGTGAGTGTTCATCATTATTATTATTATTTTGAACGTGTGTTTAATAACTATAGACTAGACTAATTTGAGACTACAATCTAAACCTGAGAAACTAATGTTTTCTACTCGTGGCCATCCCACATAACGCTGCTTATTCTTGACTAAGCTGGCGGTGCTGTGCTTTCTTCATATCACGATATATGTGTATGCTCTGAAAACTTAGGAACTTGTTGTTATGAACAGAACGTTTTCAGCACAGCAGTTTAACGGGAATTCATAATAAATTTTTTCTTATATTTCCGGGAAACAAAAAGGACTATTAAAAAAAATGTCTATCAATATTGTGTCGACTAATATTTAACCGTTATTCAAATATGTTATTAACTTTTATTCAATGAGTTGTAACTGTTATTTAATATGTGATGTAATTTGTTATTTAATATGTGATGTAATGGGTTATTTAATATGTGATGTTATTGGTTATTTAATATGTGATGTAATTTGTTATTTAATATGTGATGTAATTTGTTATTTAATATGTGATGTAATTGGTTATTTAATACGTGATGTTATTGGTTATTTAATATGTGATGTAATTTCTTATTTAATATGTGATGTAATTTGTTATTTAATATGTGATGTAATTGGTTATTTAATATGTGATGTAATTGATTATTTAATATGTGATGTAATTTCTTATTTAATATGTGATGTAATTTGATATTTAATATGTGATGTAATGGGTTATTTAATATGTGATGTAATTTGTTATTTAATATGTGATGTAATTTGCTATTTAATATGTGATGTAATGGGTTATTTAATATGTGATGTACTTTGTTATTTAATATGTGATGTAATGGGTTATTTAGTATGTGATGTAATTTGTTATTTAATATGTAATGTAATTTGTTATTTAATATGTGATGTAATTTGTTATTTAATATGTGATGTAATGGGTTATTTAATATGTGATGTAATTTGTTATTTAATATGTGATGTAATTTGTTATTTAATATGTGATGTAATTTGTTATTTAATATGTGATGTAATTTGTTATTTAATATGTGATGTCATTTGTTATTTAACTGTTATTTAAAATGTTATTTAACTGTTACGTAATACGTTATTTAACTGTTATTTAATATGTTATTTAACTGCTATTAATATGTTTTAACAGTTATTATCAGCTATTCACTATGTTATTTAACTGTTATGTAATATGTTATGCAACTGTTATTTAATGTTATGTAATTTGTTATTTAAATGATATTTAACATTTTTAACTGTTATTTAATATGTTATCCGTTATGTAACATGTTATTTAACCGTTCCTTTTCATTGTTTTTATTTCCATTTCTTCTTTCAGATTCAGTACGGATATCACCCGCCATTTTCTTTTACATACACTTTTTTTTTTAATCTAAAATCATGATCTATCGTAATCTTATGTTAGTTGTGATCATGTTGATGAATGGTCACGTCACAGCTGAGTTCGTTTGCCAACGTGGACAGTATGTTCAACGCGACGGCGAAGGGACGCTATCCTGCGCCCTGTGTCCCGAGGCCACATTCATGTCCCATGACAACCATCAGAACGTCAACTGCAAGCCCTGCTCCATCCCGGAGCCGTACCGCCACGAACGCCTGGTGAAAAGCTGCACGCCATTTCACGACGCGGTCGTCGGCTGCGATGAGAGCCACTACAGGGAGAAGCACGCCTACGACGATTTCGATGACAGTGAATGCGTAAAGTGCACGAGTTGTCAGGTGTTAAACATGCACGAGGCGAGGCCCTGTGATGAGTTCACGGACGCCGTGTGTTGTCCAAAGCCTGGGATGAAGGTTGTCCATGTCAAGGACGGACGGGATCACTGCGAACACTGATTTAGACGAAGCCAAAATTTGTTTTGATGGAGAAAACAAATTGATATGCAAGAAAAAAGCGTGTGGGGGGGGGGGTGGAATAATGATATTACATCTTGTAACATGAGGTATACGCCTATGTGGCCGATGTTTCATGTCTTGCTTTCATGAAACATGTAAAAAAAAAAAATTAACCATACCTTTTATCCGGATAATATAAATGATACGTCACCACATTTTTGTATTAAATAAACAAAATATCTACCATGTTTCCTTAATTATTAAATAATGTTTTGTTCCGCAAGATATAATTTCAGAAATGCTATTTTAACATCAACGGGTTAATAAAAATAAAAAATTTACGATAACAATTTATTCAGAAGTCTTTTACGTGTATTGTTCTATTGTTGTACTAAGACGGAGAAAGAACACATTTGGATGGATTTGTTCAAATTATCGGCACCAATAGTCTGTGTACGTGGCACACGGCTATGATGTTTGACACATGCGAAAACCACTTTTCAGTCTTTCACTTTAACATACATGTTAGGCCAACAGGGAAGTCGCACATTATACAATTATGCAACTACCTGGGAGGATTGGGTTCTTAAAAAAAACAGTTGAACTCCTATTTCGACATATGTCGTGACACAGAGGCTAATGAAAGATTTAACGACATTTAACGACACATTTTCCGGCAGATCGTGTGTTCCGGGCTTTCACGTCGTACATCGGATAAATGCAACGCAATAAAAAGCAAACACCACAGGTACAGCAAACACCACAGGTACAGCAAACATCACAGGTACAGCAAACATCACAGGCACAGCAAACATCACAAGTACAGCAAACATCATAGGTACAGCAAACACCACAGGTACAGCAAACATCACAGGTACAGCAAACATCACAGGTACAGCAAACATCACAGGTACAGCAAACATCACAGGTACAACAAACACCACAGGTACAGCAAACACCACAGGTACAGCAAACACCACAGGTACAGCAAACACCACAGGTACAGCAAACATCACAGGTACAGCAAACATCACAGGTACAGCAAACATCACAGGTACAGCAAACACCACAGGTACAGCAAACATCACAGGTACAGCAAACATCACAGGTACAGCAAACATCACAGGTGCAGCAAACATCACAGGTACAGCAAACCAGTGCATCGTGTTGTTTTTTTTTAAATCTTGAATGTAGGTTCATATGTAGACGGCAAAATGCAATATGAAAAAAGTTCGTATGCAGAGTGGTTCGTAAGTCGAAGTACCAGCGTATATTTATGGTTCACTTGGGTGGCCAAGTGGTCTAAACTGAGCAAATCTCAAGTTGGTGGTTTGGAGATCAATTCCAGCAAGAGCCCAAGCAAAAAAAAACACCACCAGCACCCCGGGGAGATGGGACCCGTTAACCTTGGATGGCAACTCATCTAAGAGAAGGAAACTCTGAAATCAAAACCCGGAGATGGAGTCCCGAAAGGCGGATAACATTGATACAATGAAACATTCCGACAACTCCTGCGAGGTCACCTGTGCCAAGCTGTATCATCCACATGATGTTCCCTTGGGTTATCCAGCGGCGTGGAGAGGGGCGATTTGCTGTTGGGAACCAGCCTATAATCCTTGAAGAATAATCCCAGGCCATGTGGATTTCGTCCCCTGAAGCCCACTCCATCGTCAGCAATATATATATATAAGGATAAAGGGGCGTACTTTCAACCATTAGCCGAACATTTTTTTTTTTTTGATTGGGGTTTGCGAGAGACGGCGAACAACTACCTTGTATCTTTTATTCATAAGTGAAAAATGTAGTCATGGTAGGTTGGTCAATGCAGTCAGCTTTCAGTTTCAGCGATATTCAGATAACGCTCCGGGAGAATAAATAATACTTCAGCGTTTCCAACAGATGATAGTGGCTCATGACAATCGAATGTTACTCAAGTATCGATACTTCAGAATCTCTACTGCGCATGTCTAAAAGGCTGTAATGTTGTTTGTTTTTTGTAGTTTTTGTTATTGTTTTTTTTTTTTTCTTTTTGTGGACCGACAGAGCATTAGGCATTTTTAGTATCATTGGATATCACGTGGGTAGCTTTGTTGGCATGTCCTCCTGCTACATTAATCTACATCAACACCGGGTATCTTAAGGTCGACCGTTGAGAGTTGTCCTATATACACACCGTTGTGATAGTGTGTCTGTAATGCTTTTTTTTTCTTTATCAAAGTAACCAGGTAAATGTTATCAAAATGGCTTTTTGTATCTAGATAACCTTTCGTACTATCATTAGTAATAACATTTCTTGTCTTTCAGGGTTTGTATGTTTGAATCTATATTTTGGTTACATGTTATTGATCGGATGTACATGTTTCTACAGATTCGTCATCAAAGGTAAATGAAAATTACTATCAACATTCTATGCAAATGAGATTTTCCTTAAATAATTATATCACATGTTAGACCCATTACCATTAAATACTTATTAGCTGATTTTTACAGGCTTTTTAAACATAATTTTCTGCCTCTCCCCCTTTCCAACCCTCCTTCCCTCTTATCTATCTCTCCATCCCTTCTCCCTACTCCCTCTCTCTCTCCCTCGCTATCTTTCTCCCTCCATACTCTCTCTCTCCTTCTTTCTCTCTTTCTATCGTCTCTCTCCGCGTCCCCTCCCGCCCTCTCTCTCTCTCCTTCTTTCTCTAACGCCCTCAATCAGTAAAACGCTCTCATCTCATGTCATGGTATTGCCTCCAGTAACGCAGTACAAACCCTCGATGCAATACTCCCCACTTTCATCAATGTACACCGCTCACTAAACAACTTCAAACTTTTTTTTTTCATAATTTCATAACTTTAAATGAACAACTCTTAGTCGCTGGCTCACGATTAATGATTAACTCTCAAGACTTTTCTTGTCGTGTCTGATAAGGCACACCCAATGTTCCCTCTAAGGTTTGTTGGTTCGTGTGCAAAATCATACAGTTGTGTGCAATGTTTTACAGCTTCAATTTTTTTGTGCGCAAAATTTTACAGCCCACTCACTAGAGTGGAAATTTGCTGCGCGGTACTCAAAACTGCTGCGCGGCGTCTGCTTAAACGGAACATTTGTCACACCATATCACACGTGTTTGTTGTTGTATTTTTTTTCATCCATCCTTTAGTCTGTTTTTCGTGTCTTGTCCGTCTGTTGTTTGTAATGTTCCCTCTAGAAATTTTTAAATTTTTTATTTTTTTTAATTTTAAAAATTGTTTTTAGTGTTCATTTACAGGAATATAACGAAAAGAAGTACAGTATTCAGTGTTGTAACATCATGGTAAAGATGTGTCCAATCACCATACTTATCCTTTGCTTTGCCATGACAACCGTCAGTCTCACAGAGACGTTTTGCAGCCCGGGCCAGTACGTGTCTACAGATTCAGATGGGAATTCCCGGTGCGTTCCTTGCCGCACCGGTACATTCAATCCGCACGAGCGCCACCGAGACATCGACTGCGCCATGTGCACCAGCGCGGAGTCCTTCCAACACGAGACGGTCATCTCCGTGTGTGACGGTGTGCGAGACACGGTGATTGGCTGCCGGAGAGGGTACTACCGAGTGCAGGTGTACGACGGCATGTACTCGGACGGGGAGTGTCTTAGGTGCGCACGGTGTGGTGCTGGCATGCGCACTGTCAGGCCGTGCAGTGGAACCAGCGACACGGTCTGTGCGCCTAATCAGCCTTGAACGTACAGGATTATAAAACTTAGTCACTGAACACGTCATAATAATCTTGCCCTTACACACAAGACATATCTACACACAAGACACATCTACACACAAGAAACATCTACACACAAGACACATCTACACACAAGACACATCTACATACAAGACACGTACAAATTAATTCACACCTTAACCGTTTCACACCTGATAACACACTAATGCCCCCCCCCCCCCCCCCCAACCTTTGTTTCTGCCAACATCTGAATGAGACAGTAACGCACAACCTCTTCCAAGGCCTTCTACTTCAGGACTTATTCCTCGACTACTTACCAAAAAATACCAGACTACACCAACACCCTATGCATGTATACAGCTGCGAAAAAATGTGCTAATTTTTTTCCAGATTTGCCTGGCCAGGATGTTTATGTCTGTAGTTTTCACTGTGACTTATCCAAATAAATATTTATTTTTTTTTTTAATATTTTTAAAATTTAGTCTTTCATTTTTTGATCTTTCCAACTTTGATCTATTTGAACTTCGATCTATTTGAAGATGGATATCCTGAAAGGATTGATTGCGAGTCTTAAATAAATACATATATTATATCACTTAAAATGAGCTCGCTGAGAGACATTCGTTCATTTCATTAACGCAAACAAATATCTAAGGTTACATTTCTTATGCTAATTTGAAAGTTCATGAAAGTAATATAATTTGTTTGTTTTTTATTAAGGGAAACAATTTTTTTGAACTGTTTTGCGTCATAGTTTAAACAAGTTGTTAGATGCTCATGTTCAAAATTTAGGTTGAATTACGCCAGGATGCACGCCAAAGCGCAGGCTTTATGGACGTATTCGCCGTAATTACAAAGATAATAAACTCATTTATATAGTATCTATATGTTAGTGTATTGTATAATTTGTAAATCACTGCGATGGCCAAGTTTCTTGAAAGAAACTTTGAAACCCGCACTTGACCATCATGTTGTCCTACATGGTTCTCAACCTTCCTAATGCCGCGACCCTTTAACCATAAAATTATTGGCGTTGCTACTTCATAAAATGTGTTTTCCGATGGTCTTAGGCGACCTCTGAGTAAGGGTCGTTCGACCCCCCCCATCCCCCAAAGGGATCGTGACCCCCCAGGTTGATAACCGCTGATCTAGCTCATTTCATCATGTGCATCTGGTACAGCTCATCCTGTACATCTAGTACATCTCAAGTACACATAGGGCATCTCATCATGTACACATGGAATATCTCATCACGTGCACATTGTGTATCTCATCATGTACACATAGTATATCTCATCACGTAAACATAGTATATTTCATCACGTACACACAATGCATTTCATCATTTTCACATAGTGCATCTCATCATGTACACATAGTATATCTCATCACGTACACAAAGTTCATCTCATCATGCATACACAGTGCATCTCATCATGTACACATAGTGCATCTCATCATGTACACATAGTGCATCACATCGTGTCGATATGGTGAAGCGGGCGAAGCTCAGTACACAAGGCTGCTTTAGCGCACAGAGCTAAAAATAGTATGGCCAATGGCGTACTGTTATGCCGAGTTTAAGAATTTCTCAGGAGCCTTGTTTCAACAAAAAAAAAGGGACAAAAAGCCAAGACAGTTTAAAATTACAACTCACAATCAGGAACTCAACAGTTATTCTTACCCCACAATCAGGGTTTCTTTCAGGCATGTCTTCGGGGGACTCTCCCCCCCCCCCCCCAGGGGGGGGGGAAGTCAAGGCCCCCCCTCCCAGAGCAAAAGGGGAAAAATCAATAGAACGAGTAAATATTTTATAAAATTAAAAACGACTGTCATTTTTAAAAAAAAGTTTTAAAAAGCATAGTTACTGGTGCTTTATCTGGGGGCCCCCCCCCCCCCCCCCCCCAGGGGAGGGGGAAGTCAAGTGCCCCACTCCCAGAGCAAAATGGGTAAAATCAATAGAACGAGTAAATATTTTATAAAATTAAAAACGACTGTCATTTTTAAAAAAAAGTTTTAAAAAGCATAGTTACTGGTGCTTTATCCGATTACACTTAGTGGAATCTATGAAATATCGCTACGCTCCATATATTTGATGATCCGTGCATTGAAGGCCATTGAAGGGCTTAGAGTATTCGATTATAAATATCTTACTGGCCGCTTCTGATTAAGCCGAGGATTTACTCCAAGGTGTTCGCACTTATCGTTATTTGTATATTGTTTTTTTTTTGTTTTTTTTAGCAAATTCACCAATTTTAAGACTTTAATAACACTGTTTAAAAATACCTTTACATCAAGATCAAGGACTACAATTCTAATATTTCTTGCCAAATATCAAACATATGCAGTCCATATTGTAATTATAGTTCATTATAAAAGCATTACTTTTAAAGTAAGGATAGGTGTTACTTACAAATTATATGATGATATTAGGCTTTAAAAATATTTTAATTGGCATGACTATAAAAAATAAAACTCGATTTCATGAATGTTGAGTTATATAAAATAGAAACTAAAAAAACTGAGAGAGATTTTTTTTTTTTAATTTTCAATTTAAACGGGCGCATACAAATAGTGCAAATTTAATTAATTATTATTTCGAAATGGTATGTGTGTTTCTTAAAACGTGCTACGTTTGTAACAAAGTTTCCTGAATAAAAAAGGTTTAAAAAAATAGTAATAAACAAACTGACCCATTTTTCCAAATGAGAATCTATCAGAAAGTTAAAATAAAGAAGATGAACTAGCATTTCGCTCATCATGCCAATTCCACTAAAAAAAAATATTTTTTTTGTCATTTGTACTTTGTCAATTTAAAATAAATTCTGTGGATTTGGGGGGAAAATCTTTTAAAGTATATATATAAGTGGTAATATTCAATTTATCTGAAAAAAAGTTATTTTAGTTTTAAGAAAACTGACCAATCCATTTGCATTGCACTCATATTTTTATATTATAATTTGTATTTTAGATGAGAATCCAAAAGAAAGCTAAGAAAAAAGTTTTAGTGAACTAGCATTTCGATTATTATGCCAATTATTCCTTTAGTTGGTATGTGTTATTTTTTTAATCTTATTCTAAATTCGTCAATTTAAAATAGATTCTTTAGATTTAGTTAAAAATATTTTTAAGTATAGCAAATAGGCAATTTATAGCAAAGTTATAGCAGTTTGAAATTCCAAATAAAAATTTCAATCTACTGAATATTGGGAAATGTATACTTTATTTGCATACGATTTCCCTTAGATAAATATCACACATTAATAAATATTATGTCTTTTGTAAACAACTCTTGTCTTTTTAAAATATGTATTAAAAAAAATAATGACCAGTTTCCAAAACCCATACAAATGTATAGACCTTTCTAATTGACCTGTTTTTGTTTTCTTTTTGACTCTGGTAAAATTAGGAAATATTTAGAAAAAGTACTCTACGCATTATAATTATAAGTAAATGTGTTTTTTTTCCAGTTGCGTTAAGCTTATAAAATAAGTTTGCAGTGTTTTTTAGTGATTTAGCCCTTATTTATTTTTTTAAAACTTTATTTATTAATTAAGTAGCTATCCGCCAAAATAATGTAAATAAAAAATAAAAGCCACATTACTAATTTTAATAAATTTTAATATTTTTGCATAACACTGGCTGGTCAAGTACGTTTCCGTTTTGCCCCCCCCCCCAAACCCTGCAATGAAGGATGATAATTATGAAAAAGTATCCACATCTTTAAACAACTCAGAATATCTGAGGCACCCTACGGTCGTTGGGGTTGATGGGTGAACACGATGGTTCTAATGTTAAATGACACCTTCGCTTTTTAACTAGGATCTCTTCCGCTGCTCTCCAATTAAATGTTGAAAGTTTCAAAACTAAATTAAGATATATGATAAATTGAATTCTTGTATTTTCAATTTATCAAAAATTTTCTAAGGAATTTAATAATGATTGAAGGTTTGAGAATAATCTAGGTCAAAATCTTACCCTCAGGGGTGACACAACTATATATAGAGTGAAGTTACGTTCCGCTGGTGCTAATTTTAAGATATATTTGGTCATCATTATGGCTACTTTTGGCGGTTCCCACCCGAAAGTTTTAAATGCCACCTCAAAAGTCCATGAAAGAAACAACAATTTCACGTATGCGTTTAATTAATGCACCCCTGCATTTTGAGTTTGTCCGTCTGTCTTTAGCACCCTACAAATATGCACACCTTCCCTTACGTTGATGATTGGTACAGTGTCGGGTTGATTATAAGCTTGTGCCAAATGATGACCCTGTGGCACGCCAAGAAAGGAGTGAATTCAGTTTATGTATGACACTGGGCGCCAAAACGCCTCACACAAAACCTTCGAAATCTCCCTCCCCTGTTCAAAAGGTATCATAGAAACATTGAATTAGGGTAAACTTAAATATACACCTCTTGATTTTGAAATAATCAAAAACGTTCCACTGAGAAGGCTCTCCAAACCCCTCCACCGATCAAGATTCATCGGCGGCACTCAACTTCCGCCCCACCTCCCGATGAAAATGATCGCCGATGTTTTTTGTATCGCTATAACAATGCCAAGTGGCGTAGCTACTATTAGTGCTACCATGAGCGGCCAAATAGTTTTGCCGTCCTCCCTTTCACGATACAAACTCTGTCGTTGTCAAAAAATGCCACACAAGCATATAAAGAAAGAGTGACACCTTTGTGGACCACTCCATCCACCCCATTTCGACGCCACCAGCCTGGGCGTATCGACAGTGTTTGGCGTCTGGGGACAGTATTCATTTATCCCCCCCCCCCCAACTCTGAAACCCGCTATTTTCAGCCATTAAATACCACCAAAGACCAATTTGTCGCCCCTCCCCCTCCAGCTAGTCTGGTATCCTCCCATCTGCCACCCCTTCGGCCACTGGCGCTGCCCCCCCCCAATGTGAAGTGCCCCCCGCCCCGGGGGGGGGGGGAGTTTCTGAAAGAGACACTGCGCACAATTATTGGACGAAAGTCTTGCCACAGACTAATTTTAAGGAACAACCAAAAGTTTTAACAAGGATTTTCAAGACTGGAAAAAGAAAAATATGGACGATGACTGAAGTGAAAAAATGTCCATTTGTTTGGATCAATTTAAACAAAGTAAAACAATTGATAGGGGACCCCAAAAATTCTTACACGAGGTTCTCTCAATCAGAGAATTGAAAATATGTTATGAAATCTTTTTATAGATACAAAACCGTATATGAAAAAATAAATAAAATCATAAAATGCTGTTTATACAAATTGAACATGTTTTGAGATCCACTCACGCCTTTTCAGCTATGCAAAGGAACTCTTTATAAATGAACCTCTCGTTCTGCGCCATTTTTTTTTTTTTTCTTGGGGCCGTCCACGATTTCGTTTTCCTTGACTTCTTTGGTACCCCATGGTCATGATGAGAAAATTCCAAAGGGCTGATTGGCTTTTGCCGCCGGTCTCTCCGCGTTTATTTCCTTTTCATAACGCCCCTGTAACTAAATTGATTCCCCTTTCGTACATGCAAACACAACCGACAAGATATATTTAAAATATACATTTCATAGGTTGGGAGGGGGGGGAATTACATTGTAAACTTAAAAGATCTCCCTGCTTATCTATTCACCAAAAAATATTTATGACTACAAGACACAAGTTACTTTATTGGAAACTTTTATTTATAGCGAACTGACGTGTAGTTTATGGATTTTAATTTGTATGTTTAGTTCCTGCTTCAACGGCTGTGAAAATCAATTTGATTGGTTTTTTAAAGGGGTAATTATATTGCTGACGATGTCCTTTTATTTCTCTGGGTATATCCATAGTTCAGTAAGGTTTACAGGCATAACCTTTGAAAAAAATAATATATTTTTTAAAAAGTCCTTTATTTTGAGATGACAACTCGGCTGTCCTTAATAAGGTAAGAGTGGTTTAAATACTTTAAATGTTATTATGGATTCTTATGTTTTGTTGGGTTTTTTTTTTTGTCTTCAGGTTAGGGTTAGGGATAATGGATTCTTATGGATGTTTTTTTTGTATTTTCTTCAGGTTTGTATCGTGTCTCTGGTATGTGAATTGATAAAACACTATTAATAACCAAGACAACACGAATAACGGTGACAGAGTGAATAGCTAAGACAACATGAATAATAACTGTGACAGTGTGAATAACTAAGACAACACGAATAACTGTGACAGTGTGAATAACTAAGACAACACGAATAATAACTGTGACAGTGTGAATAACTAAGACAACACGAATAACTGTGACAGTGTGAATAACTAAGACAACACGAATAACTGTGACAGAGTGAATAACTAAGACAACACGAATAACTGTGACAGTATGAATAACTAAGACAACATGAATAATAACTGTGACAATGTGAATAACTAAGACAATACGAATAACTGTGACAGTGTGAATAACTAAGACAACACTAATAACTGTGACAGAGTGAATAACTAAGACAACACGAATAACTGTGACAGTATGAATAACTAAGACAACACAAATAACTGTGACAGTATGAATAACTAAGACAACATGAATAATAACTGTGACAGTGTGAATAACTAAGACAACATAAATAACCGTGACACTGTGAATAACTAAGACAACACAAATAACTGTGACAGTGTGAATAGCTAAGACAACATGAATAATATATGTGGCAGTGTGAATATATAGCTAAGTCAACGTGAATAACTTACAGTGTGAATAGCGAACACAACGTGAATAACTGTGACAATGTTAACAACAGAGTCAATATGCTTATTAATGCTAATCAAAGTTTTTTGTAATATACATTGTATATATAGACATATAAAAGTCACACCTCAGCGACATCACTAGTTTGCCGTTGCATTGATAACGTCACAAAGGAGTGTTGTTATAGGTTTCACAAATCGCAGTCAACAGTTTCTTATTCTTTAAGAAAGTGTCTAAGAGCCATTTTTTATGTGAAATTAAATTAATGTGTGTTGGATATTTACCCCTTCAGATTGTAAAACCTTTTGATTATAAATTATTATTATTATTATTATTATTATTTACATTCATAAAAACACATATATTTTCGTGATTTATTAAAAAGTGATGTGCTTTGATTTGACTATAGTGGTAGTTAAATCACCATCCACTTGTTTGTGGATGAAAATGATGTGAGGGTTATTATCCATTTAAGAAAGAGTGAATCTTGAAGTAACATCGGGAAGAAGAAAAAGTATATTTAAGTGATCACATTCAGTAATATAAACAATATGAGAATGTACGCGATATATTGATGATTTAAGAAATAAGGACACTAACAATTATATACCTTTTTTTCTCATTAAAAATTATAAACAATTATTTTAAGAATGACTTTTTTTCTCCCTCACCACATAAAGAATGGCCGCAACTTCAACGAAATCCTTGTTCATCGTGGTCTCGATGTCTCTCGTCACTCACATGTGCAGCGCCGAATTTTTCTGCCATAAAGGTGAATTCGTTTTCCGAGCTGGCTCGCAAAATCCCGCCTGCAAACCTTGTCCCACGGGGACCTACATGGACAAAGACAACCATCAGAACATTGGATGCAAACCTTGCACCGCTGCCGAGTCATTCCTCCACGAGTACGTCATCAAGCCGTGTACCACGTCACAGGACACGGTGGTCGGATGTACACTCGGTTACTACCGAGTCGACGCGGAGTATGGAGATTTCAAAGATGGCGAATGCTTATCTTGCAGCACGTGCAGTGGGGCTAAGCCACACGTGGCCAGGAAATGCGACGAGAAAACTGACACCGTGTGCTGTCCAGAGCAAGGGATGGTACTCTTTACAGACAGCCAAGGAAGAATTGGATGTGACAAAGCTTCTTCGGTAGTGAAGAGATCTTTGGGTGCCTCAGGCAAACTACAGTAGAACGTCTTCCAAGAAAGATTAAACGAGACGCGGTACAGCACTCGGATAGATGGAACAATTAACGGCTAACGATTGAGGAAGATCATCTTTGTATTGATGATCTATGTCTAGTATGCAAGAATTCCCCCTGTGTAACATCATCAAGCCGACTTATTGTATACAGAACTAAATAAAAATTCACAAATATGTATCTAATAAATAATTATGTTTTTGTTTAGAGCACGTTTATTCGTATTATTGTATCGACATGAATATTATTTTCCCTGTAATTGTAGGCAGAATGAACTTTGTTTCATAATGTGACCTTTGTTTCGTCAAGTGAACTTTGTTTCGTAATGTGAACTTTGTTTCGTAATGTGAACTTTGTTTCGTAAGGAAATTCTGTTTCGTAATGTGAACTTTGTTTCGTAAGGGAATTCCGTTTCGTAATGTGAACTTTGTTTCGTAAGGGAAGTCTGTTTCGTAATGTGATTTTTGTTTCGTAGGGGAATTCTGTTTCGCAATGTAAACTTTGTTTCGTAATGATGCTCTCCTTAAGGGGGTTAGTTGGCGATTCATACATTACGGGAAACATTAGTGACAGGAAATGTAGGTCTATTCACTTTTTTTTTACAGGGGAGTGCGACAAAGTTAAAACGCGGGAGATTTTTTTTTTTATGAAAAGACTTTTTTTTTAGTTTGACTTAAATTGTAAAACAAATACATTTCACCTACATAATTATTAAATACAATTAATTTAAAAGTAAAAACCAATTTAAGAAATGTGAGAAACCAGATTTATTGGGGAATCACTGTCAACATCGTTACATAAATGACACATACTCAAGTCGCCAATGTCAATCTGGAAGTTGCAATGTGAAGACATGAACTGGTTGGTGTCTTGTGGTCGTGTGTCTATCCCGTGTGTCTGTCCCATGTGTCTTGTCCCGTGTGTCTTGTCCCGTGTGTCTTTCTCACGTGTCGGACTCGTGTGAACAAACTATCCGGCCGCATCATCCTGTCAGTGCCTGGCAGTCGGCCCGGAAGGTGGGCAGGTTTTGTTGACACGTTGAAGTAGCTGGGGGGGAAAAAATAAAATGTATCAGCTTAAATATATCTAGGCAAGAAAGTGAATACGTGTCTGTGTAGGAGAGGGGGGAAAAGGGGGGGGGAGGGTTTAGCCCTTTGATCGTCTTTGGGCAACATTAAATGAAGAATGCCGAGGACTTCAAGACATTGATGCTTAATTTTTAATTTAGTGTTATTTTTTTTTTAAACATACAAAAGAATACTAAGCTAAAATCACGATTGCATGGAATGTTATTGTCTCTTGAAACTTATACATTTATATATATATATATATATACATTACATAAAAATTATTTTTAACATTTCTTTTTGAATGGGGTCTCTGACAGAGGACCAAATGAAGTCCACAATTTACCAACAAAAATATTGCTTTAGATGCGGTTAAGTTTTTTAATATGCCAATATACAAGGTGCTCCCCACCCCCCCCACAAAAAAACCAGAAA